AGGTTGGGGACGGCACATGGGCGGGGGCTGTGTGCGCAGCACAACCTAACAGGTTCCCGAGGTGCGTCGATTGAGGCGGTGCATGCGGCTGACAGGTGATGGCACGTCATGCTTGCTGCAGTCGAGCCAGGCGGGCAGACGCCTCGGCTGCGCTGCGGCTGCGCGAGCGCGCGGGGCGGCCTGGCGGCCTGGCGGCCTGGCGGCCTGGCGGAGCGCACCTCCCACACTGTCGCGGGGTCTCTGCGGGGCATGTGTATGTGTGAGGCATGCGTCCGCGGCGGGATGAGGAAGGACCCTCAATGTGATGGTCTGTTGGTCTTTGAGACCCGCATATCCACCGATGCAGTGAACGCAGTCCATGCACAAGCAGTCGCTCTCTGCTCGCACGAGCCTGAACCGCCCCACGATGATGCCGCGTCCCAGGAAAGACACACGGGATTCCCGCGCAGCCGACCCGGCCCGCCCGCCAAGCAGCAGCCCCCGTCCGGCCCTCGCGCACAGCCCCCGGGCGGCTTGGCGGCAGGCGCCCCACCTGGAGAACGCCTGGGGCGTCGCCAGCATTGCGGGGTCGTACTTGCGCCACAGGCCCCCGGCCTGGCGGAACGTCGGCACCCCGCTCTCGGCGCTCACGCCGGCACCTGCGGGGCGGGGAGCGCGCCGCCCTCGTCGTACCGGCCTTGAACGCCAGGCGCGTCGCAGCCAGCACGCAGCGTTCCGCGCGAGCGGGCGAGGCGGGGTTGAGCAGCTGCCGCTGGAGAAGGTGCTGAGCGCGTGATGCCGGCACGCGAAGGGTCCCGCGTGCCGCCCCTCACCAGTCAGGACTGCGATGTGGCGCGCCCCCGCCAGCAGCTTGGCGAACCGCTGGAACGCCTCCGCCGGCATGGCGGCGGCGCTGCTGCTGGCGCTGCTGGTGCTGCTTATAATGATGATAATTCAGCTCCTGTTCTGCTGTTGACGCGATCCACCTCAAGCTGCACTAGTGCCGGCGGGGGGCAGGGACTGCGCGCGGCGGTTCTCTGGGCGCGTCGCGTCAGTGCGACCTCGCAATTGGTGGGGGGCCGCGCAGAAGCCCTCCTGGCTGCACCAGCACGGTGGAAACGTATGGGGTGATAAATTTGCTTTAAATGGAGACACGCAACGAACGGCCTCCGCGCACAGACACGCACAAGTGCGGAAGAAAAAGAACTGCGAGCGGGACCAGACGCAAGCAGAAGCACGTGATATGATATGTTTGTGAAATTTTCCTTCATCAGGAGTACATGTGTGTTACAACCGCTTGCTTTGATCTGTGCGTGTGGACTTCGACAATGTCACGACACCAATCTGTTCATCTGTTTTGAGGTCACCGGCGCATACAGGAAGATGAAATGCACAACCACTAATTATGGCATCAGCAGCTGACAGGCAAGACATGCGACCAGCACGTCGGTCCAAGGCAGGTTGGCCGGCGGTCAGCGCTGGGTCTAGGGTTGATGCAATACACATGCTGATATGTGCTTGCAACACTGAACTTAGCGTGTGCAGCATGAAATTAGGGGGCTGCGATTGAGCAAAGCAACCTTGGGCAGGCACACAGAATGCGGGCGTCGTGTTGGGGTGAGTGTCACCAGGCTGAGATGTCGCAATGGTATGATGCGGCTTTCATGCAGCTTATTGCTCTTTTTCCGGCTTTTCTAGAGGCCATCGATATGGTAGAAGTGTAACTCAACGCCTCAAGTACCTTGGAGTCACAGACGGCCGTCACCATCCCACAGGGCGCGTGAAGTGGCAAGGGTGCAGCAAGCAGCACTAAGCGAGTTGGGTATCCCTGCCCAACCCCGTCCCACTGGGACTCGTATCACAAATCACCTGAGCGTTATGGCGAGTTGAACAGAGGGGCAGGCGAGTCTTGAGCTTGCGTTGCACAAAAAGCAGCAAAGGCGGAGGTGCACAGAGTGTGCTTGTGCCTGCGATTGCCGAGGAGACCCTGGCGAGGGTGAGGCAAAGGGGCCACAACATTGGTGCCCGTCGGTAAAGGGTGGCTGGTGGAGGTGGGAAGGTGAGATGAGTGAGAGGGCGGTGTATTGTTTGACATGGGATTCCAGAGGCAGGCGCAGGTGGTCCCTGGGACCGCCGCGGCCCCCGGGCTCAATGTCATCAGCATGAGAAGGGCACCAGCGTAGCTTCACGCTGGCCGAGCCGCACGACACGACATGGCACGTTGGCGTGCTAAACATGAGCACCCCGCGTAATGAGAGCGCTTGTGTCAGCTTTGTTGGCATTGCCCGCATCGCAGCGTTCGTGGCGCGAGGGCTGTATGTATGCTCACAGACAGCTGGCTGTGCGGGCCCATCGTGCTCATCAGCCGTTAGTGCTGCAGAAAAAGCCTGAATTACTTTTTAAGTGCATCGCAATGGCCGTCAATCCCCGCGCTGCTGCATTTCTGCGCACCAGAAGCGCTTGCTTCTCAGGGCGAAGCTGCCGCCTTTCGTACCTATGCTGCAACTCACCCGCAGAGCATGCGTTCAAACCGGTGCGCGCTGCTGCCGTTGCGCAGAAGCATGACCTGGACGTCATTTGGTTGCCAGGTGCCGTCCCAACACCGCAAAATGGGACCCCCAGCTTTGTCTCGCGAGACCTTCGGCACTCGTCTAGCTCGGTCCTCAAGCGTGATACGCAGGCCTATAAGGAGACTGAGTAGACGTACAGCGACCAGCGTGCAGGCGCAGGAGGCCAAGGGCGGGGTGCAGCAGTCTACGGATGACCCGGGCCCCTCTGGGCAGGGCCGGCGCACACTGACGTGGGTTTTTACGTGGTTCAAGGCTTATTACAATGCATGTAACACCTGAAACTGAGCAGCGGAGTGCGGCGATCTGGTGCTTGGGATGCCTTGTCGGGACAGAGCAGGCCTATGGCGGG